CCCGGAACTGAGCCAGGATTGGCGGAAACTTGAACACAACCCCGGAATTTTGGGGGAAAGACTGAACAGAACCTCAGAACTCAGCCAGGATTCAGGGAAAACCTGAACAGAACCCTGGAACTGAGCAGGAATTGGGGGAGAACCTGAACAGAACCACAGAACTCAACCGGGACTGGGGGAAAAACTCAACAGAACCCCCAGAATTTTGGGGAAAAAGCCTGAACAGAACCTCAGAACTCATCCAGACCGGGACAAAGCTTTTATTTGAAGCCACTCAGGGCTGGCTCGGGCCGGGGTCGCTGCTCACTTCCTGCGGTGCTGCTTGCTGGGGTCGTCCCTGAAGAATTCGTTGAATCCCATGGTGATGCAGGCCAGGAAACAAACGTATTCCTTAAAATCCACCTCGCTGTCCTTGTTGTGGTCCAGGTCGTTCATGAGCCGCTTGAATTCGGCCTCGTCCATTTGTTTCTGTCAAAGGAGAGAGGATTTGGGGTGAGGGGGTGTCCCTGCCCGCCCCTCTTCCCCTGTTCTGCCTCAGGGAGGGTTTTTCGTCCTTCTGGAAGGAGTTGACCTGGGCAGTGGCCAAAAAAGTGCCAAAATTGCCTCCAGGATGTGGAAACATTCGGCAAAAAATGTAAAAAAAAAAAAAAAAAAATTCACCACCCAGTTGAAACCACGAGCCGAGAAAGGGAAGTGGGGGTTTAAAAAAAAAAAAAAATTAAAAAAGAAATGGAAATCAGAGCGTGATTTAATAAAATATTTAATAAAATAAAATATTCCCGCGGGTTTAAAAAAAATAATAAATTTCCTTTTTGGGAGGCTTCATCCCTCCTGCTCCCCAGAGCACGGAGTGGGATGAATCCAGCAGGTTCCACTCGGGAAATTTCAGAATTTCAGAGACCCCCCTCCTTGCACCCGGGGCTGGTTCTCTCCCCCCAAATCCCCCCAAAACCCTTCCCGAGGGACCCCCGGGTTGTCCCCAGGGCCACTCACGCTCCCGAACACCGGCAGCTCCTTGTTCAGCAGCTCCTTAAGCTCGGCCTTGTTGAGCTTGTACTTGTCGCCCTCGTTGCCGGAGTATTTGTGGAAGGTGGCGACCACCACGGCCAGCGCCTGCTCCAGGGGACACGCCATGGCCAGCCTGGGGACACAGCGCGGGCTGCCATCGGATTTCGGGGGATTTGGGGGTGGTTTGGGATGGTTTTGGGGGGTTTAGGAGCGGTTTTGGGACGATTTAGGGAGGTTTGGAGCGGTTTGGGGACAGTTTTGGAGCAGTTTGAGGACGGTTTTGGGACGGTTTAGGGACGATTTAGAGGGTTAGGAGCGGTTTGGGGCGGATTTGGGGGGTTTGAGGCCGTTTGGGGGTTTGGGAGCAGTTTTGGGACGGTTTTGGGGGTTTTGGGGACGGTTTTGGAAGCATTTTGGGGGTTTGGGGGCGGTTTTCAGGGTGATTTTGAAGGGGTTTTGGGAACAGTTTTGGAGGGATTTTGGGGGTTTTGGGATGGTTTTGAAGGGATTTTGGGGGTTTGGGGATGATTTTGGAGGGATTTTGGGGGTTTTGGGATGTTTTTGAAGGGATTTTGGGGGTTTTGGGATGATTTTGGAGGGATTTTGGGGGTTTTGGGGATGGTTTTGAAGGGATTTGGGGGGTTTTGGGGATGGTTTTGAAGGGATTTTGGGATGCTCCAGGAGGAAAGGGAGCAGAGAACTCACCGGGTCAGCGCGGATCAGCTCGCCAAGGGCTCGGGATGTGGCACCCGGGGCACGTCGGGCATTTATAGCCCAGCGGGGCTGGCACTGCCCCCCCCCCCCCGGTAGCCCCCGAGCCCCCAGGGCTTTCCCAGAGCTCCTCGCACTCGGTTTCGCCCGCGCCTCATTTTTGCCTAACGAGCTGTGAGATCTCATTAAGGCGAGGTTCGGGGTGCTGGGATGGTCCCCGAGCCCCCCAAAACCAGCCCTGGCCCCTGGCGACTTTGCTGAGAGCCCCGGTAGCCACAGGGCAGGCGGGGCTGGGGTCTCCCAGCCCTGTGACCCCAAAACAGGGCGAGGTTTGGGGCTGGGGGGTGACACGGGAGGTGACCCCGGGTTTATTTGGGGCCGGGGGGTGACACGGGAGGTGACACCAGGAAGTGACACCGTTTTTTTGGGGGCCTGGGGAGGTGACCCCGGGTTTATTTGGGGCTGGGGGCGTGACCCCGGGTTTATTTGGGGCACAGCCCAGCCGGGCCGTGTCCCCCTGCCAGTCCAGCTCGGTGTCCTTGTCCCGATCTCCTCGACAGAGGGGACAGTGGGGACAAGGGTGGCACTGGCTGGCCATGGCACAGGGGACAGGGGGGTTGGTGATGTCCCACCCCCATGGAGAACACCCCAAATTCTCTGGGATCCCCTTGGAAGGACAAACGAGACCCCCTCACATCCCCCCCAGGGCTGGGGAAGGGACACGAGGAGGAAGAGGAGGAGGAGGAACCCCGGAATTGTTTCCCCCCCTTCGCTGCACCCCAAAAATGGAACCTTGGGGGTCGGACCTGAGGGTCCCTCCCGGACAGACCCCCCCCCCCCCCCCCCCCCCGAGGTCCAGCCCCTCATCTCCGGTGTCTTTGGGACCGCCCAGCCCCGCTCGCCCCGCACCCCCCGGGCTGAGCCACGCCCGGGCCTCGCCCCGCGGGGATTCCTCGGCCGTGACTCAGCCCCGGCCTCGCCGCTCCCACGGGGACATCCCGGGACCCCGGGGCTGCTCTGGGGGGGCTCCGTGAGCTCGGGACCCCCGCGATGCTCCCGAAGCCGGGGGGGCTGCAAGGGGGTCCCGGTCCCGGTTCTGCCACCCCCGCGTCTCGGGGGTGCTCGGGGGTGCCCGGGGGTGCTCGGAGGTTTTCGGGGGTGCTCGGGCGTGTTCGAGGGTTCTCGGGGGTGCCCGTGGGCGCTCGGGGGCGCTCGGGGGTTCCCGGGGGTGTCCGGGGGTGTTCGAGAGTGCCCGGGGGCGCTCGGGGGTGTTCGGAGGTGTTCGGGGGTGCCCGGGAGTGTTCGGCGGTGCTCGGGGGTTCTCGGGGCTATTCGGGGGTGCCTGGGGGTGTTCGAGGGTGCCCGGAGGTGTTCGGGGGTGCCCGGGGATACTCGGGGGTGTTCGGGGGTGCTCGGGGGTTCCCGGGGGTGTTCGGGAGTGCTCGCAGCTCCAGGGCCGAGTCCCTTCCCGGTGGAAAATCCCCAGGAAGAGCCAGAATTGCCGCTCCGTGAGCCCTGCCCTGCCCAGCCCGGGGGGTCCCGGGAGTTCCCATCCCGAGTGAGGGGTGTGCGATGATGCAGGACGGAAATTGGGGATCCCCCCCCCCCCCTTGCCCGGGACCCCCATGAGGATAATAAATAATGTGACAAATGCGACAAATGTGGCAGCGGCCACCGCCCCGTGCCGCAGGCTGCGGGAGGGGCCGCGGTGTCTGCTGACACCCGCTGGTGGCTCCGGGACTGGCCTTGTCACTGGCCCAGGCAAGGCGTGGCCACGAGGGCGAGGGGAAGGCAGAGCCCTGAGCGTCACCGGTTGCTCCTCCGAATTTTATTGCTGCAATAAATAACCACGGTGGTGCCACCCGGCCGGGACCGCGAGCCTCGGGCAGGGCAGGGGGGGAAGCCCTTGACCCAAAGAGACCCCCCCCCCAATTTTTGGGGGAGCCCCAAGGGGAGAGGGGGCGCTGCTCGTGCTGGGATTTCTGCCAGCGGAGCGCTGAGGACGGACAGAATTCCCGTCCCACAGGAGGGGGAGCCTCTCCCTTTGCTCCTCGTGGAAGGGCAAGGAGGAACCCCCCGAGGCTGAGACCCCAAAATCCCACCCCCCTTCTCCCCCATCCTGCTCAGCACAGCCGTGGGACCCCGGGGGGCTCGGGGAGGGCACAAAGCGGGGGTCGTGGAGGAGCGGGGCGGGTCCTGGAGGGGTCCAGCGGTGGCTACTTGGTGTGTTTGACACTCTGCTCCTGCTGGCGGATGATCTGCGCGATGGGGCTGGCGATGCCGCCTATCAAGGTCCAGTACTCCTCGAAGCTGATGCGCCCGTCCTTGTTCTCATCCAGGTCACAGATGAGCTTGTCGGCGGCCCGGCGGTTCCCGGTGTCCTGCGGGGAGATCGGAGCCGCTCACGTTTCGAACTCGGGGCGGGGAGACCCCCGAAAAAAAAGCGGGACCCCCAAGGCCGCGCTCACCGTCAGCATGTGGTTGAGCTCGCAGCTCAGCATCTTCCGAAAATCCTTCTTGCTGATGCGCCGCGGGTTCTTGCAGCAGCAGCAGCGGCTCGAGTACTTGTCGAAATTGTTCACCAGCACCTGCACGGCCCATTCCAGGTCCGTGCACTCGCCCATCGTTGCCTGCGGGGATTTGGGCTCAATGAGACCCTCCCTGGAGTCACCGCGTGGGGGTCGCCACCCCAAACCCCCGGCAGGTTAAAAAAAAAAAAAAAAAAAACACAAAAAAATCGAACAACCGCACCAAAAACCATCCTCGTGGAAAGGCGAGCACACCCCCACGGGCCTCCGGGCCCACAGAATTTCACCCCTCCCAAAAAATCCTCGCCGCCACCTGCGCCAGCCCCGGAACTCCCCGGTGCCACCCGTGCCCGCCCCGCCCGTGCCCCCGGGGCCACCGCCCCCGCGCGTGGGCCAGGGTGGCAATTATGGCAGCGGGGCCGCGGGGCTGAGCAGCGCCAGGGCCGCGGCCTCCCGTTCCCAGGGCTCATTAGGGAGGAATGGGGCAGGAATTACCAGCCAACCCTCCTGTTGCTTCACGGCTGCGGGAACAGCCCCGGCGGGGCAGGTCCCGACCTGCCGAACCTCCCCCCCTTCTCCTCCCCGAGCCCGGCCCAGGGTCCCGTCCTGCCTGCTCCGTGCCCGGGCTGTCCCTCCTGTCCCTCCTGTCCCTCCTGTCCCCGGCCTGGAAGCTCCTTCCTAAGCTGGGCCCAGCACAGGATGGTCCCCGTCACATCCCGGTGACGAGGGGAAGGAAACGGCATCACCTTGGCCGGCCTTGGCTCTTTCCTGCTCCTGTCGGTGGCCGCGAGTGGGGAGAGCTGGGATCAGTTCATCCCTCTGCTTCCAGACTGCTTTAGTCCGGCCCAGGGGACAGCACTGACCACCACAGTGACCACCACAGTGGCCACACGGACCTTGCAGGGTGCACAGAGCACACAGGGGCGGCCCAGCACTGTCCCCACTCTGGGGACATCCCCAGAGGGTGTCCCCAGCCCCGCTGCTGTCTCTGGGAGCAGGCAGGACCTGCCCCGTGTCACAACTTGGCTCCTGTCCCCTGTCCTCACCCTGATCCTCCCCAGTCCAGCCCCAGGCCGGGGAGGTGACACCGGGATCAGCCCCAGGCTCTCGTCCTTGTCCCCACGTGCCTCAGCCTGGCCCTGTGTCCTCCCAAGCCATCCCTGTCGCTGCAGCGCCATGGCCCGGGGTCACTCTGTCATGCCAGGGCTGGGGACTGTCCCCAACCCTCAGGATTTTGGTACCAGGGTGGCTCTGGAGCTGTCCCGGCGCTGGCAGAGCCGTGGGAGCCGCTCACGGGGATTCCAGCTCCGAGCCCAGCCCAGGAACCGAAGGAATTCGGCAGCACCGGGGCAGAGGCACCCTGGGCACCCCCAGCACTCCCCACATCGGTGTCACCTGTCCCCAGCTGTCCCCAGCTGTCCCCTGCCAGCAGCGCCCAGCCCATCCTCGGGGCAGCGCGGCTGCTGCTCCGCCGCTGACTCACGGCAGCCCCGGGGCCAGCTGGGGGCACGGGGACACTCGCCGGGTGGCACACGGGGACACCGGTGCCACAATGGGACATGGGGACACCGGTGCCACAATGGGACATGGGGACACCGGTGCCCAGGGGGACACTGGGGTGACACCCAGACCCATCAGGGTGGGACGGGGCTCCCCAGCAGCTCCCCTGGCACCACCACGGTCCCACCGCGGTCCCACCACGGTCCCACCACTTCTTTCCCCTCTCCTTCCTCGCCACCAATGCCCAGAGCAGGGACAGGGAGCCAGACACGTCCCCGTCACCCCCGCTGGCAAATCCTCCTTTTCCAGCCCCACCCTGGAAGCCCCAAGCCGAGCTCTCCAGGGTCCGTGGGTGCCGCTGGTCCCGGTCCGGTTCCCCCCGGTTCCCCCC